ATGAGAATAAATTAATGAGACTATGGGTTTGTCTGTATTCCACATTGACTTCTGAGTTTCCTGTAGTTATCCCCTTTTGCTGGGCAACCTTAATCACTTTCTGCAATGGTAGATATGTTTTGTGTCACTGATATTAAGTGTAGTAGTAACATCAGCAGTGTGCAGCTATTGAAATGTGTTTTGTGGAACTTAGGACTCAAGCTTTAACTTAATTGAAAATAGTTAACATTTTAGGCCTGGTGGGTAAGGAGCTGCTCTTTCACCTGAAGGCAGGCGGTTCAAATCCACTAGCTGCTCCAAGGGAGAAAGATGGGAAATCTCCTCCCATGTGATTTATAGTCTCTGAAAAGCTGCTGAAGGATCAGCTACGAGTTCTGACTTGATGGCATATAACAACAACTTAATTCTGTCACATATTATTTTCTGGTTTGCTTTTTGCATGCCCACGAACATGTAAATACACTGCACATAGACAGTCTTATCCCTGACATTTATGAGTAAGTATCTTTGGATGTGTTTCAGACTTAGAGTTACAGAAATTAGTTATATTTTACAGAAACGTCTTTGTTCAGATTGTTTTGGAGAATACATTTTTGGGACTATCATTTTGTTGTTAGTTTCTGTAGAGTCAGCTGTGACTCATAGCGACCCTATGAACAACAGATCTAAACCTGGATCTATTTTATACCATCCTCATGATCTCAGTCCTGCTCACACGCCTTGTGGCAGTCACTGTGTCATTTTATCTTCTATCTCCTCAAGGCTCTCTCTTTCTTTTGCTGACCCTTTACCTTTTTCAGTTTGATATCTCTCTCCAAAGACTGGTTCCTCTCAAAAACATACCCAAAGTAAGGGAGACGAAGTTTCACTATCCTTGCCTCCAAGGAGCTCTCTGGTTGCACTTCCTCAATGATGAAATGGTTTGTTCTTTTTAGTACATAGTATTTTCAGTACTTTTCAATAGCACTACAATTAAAAGACATTAATTCTCCTCCAGTCTTTCTAATTTGTTATCCAACTTTCAGGTGGCAGGTGCACCTTAGTCTTGAAACTGACATCCTTGCACTTTAGAATGTTGGAGAGACCCTTGACAGCAGATTTTCCCATTGCAGCACATCTTTTGGTTTCTTAACTGACCCAAGTGATGACATCTTTGACAGACTCAGGCTTTTTCTAGTGTATCTTGATGTTGCCCTTTTGTCCAACGATGATTTTTTTTCCTTGATGTTCAGATATAAGTCCTATTGAAGGCTGTAGTCTGCATAATTGCTGTTATGGCTATTTAAATAATTTCTTTAGACAAACATCGAGAAGACAAAAAGATTCTCACTACTGGGCCAATTGGCAGCACCAGGAGAGATGGAGAACCAGTTGAAGTTGTTAACAGTTTCAGCCTACTTGGCTCCACAGTCAACAGTCTTGACAGCAGCAGTCATGAAAACAGAAGATGAAATGCTCTTGGGAAGGCTGCAGTCAGGGATCTCTCAACAGTGTCTGTCTGGAGACTAAGGAACACCTGATTTAGGCCATGGTCTTTGCAGTTACTTGCTATGCATCACAGAGCTGGACAATGACCAAAGATGACAAAAGAAGAATTGACACCTTTGAATTGTGGTGCTGGGGAAGAGTTATTGAACATACCATGGACTGCCAAGAGAACAAACAGTTTTTACCTAGAGAGAGTGCAACCAGGCTGCTCCCTGAAGGCAAGGATTTTGAAGCTCCATCTCACATACTTTGGACATGAGGCCAAGAAGGAACAGTCCCTGGAGAACATCATGCTTGGAAGGGTGAAGGGATAACATAGGAGTGGAAGACCCTGGATGAGATGGATTGACTCAGTGACCGTGATAGTAGGGGTAGATGTGTCAGAGACAGTGTGGCTAGCTCAGGATAGAGCAGAGTTCAGAGCTATTGTACATAGGGTCACTATATGACTTGCCAGCAACTTGATGACACATAACAGTAACAACAAAAGTTATAAAATAGGTCCTATTGTAGACTGGTCTCATGGACTAGAAGAATGTTGTAGTGGTTTCAGTTTGTTTTCTTAACATAGTAGCATAATAGATGCTTTTAGGATAAATAGCTTAAGAATAGTTGGGAAATCTTGCTTGTACCTGCAAGATCAGTGGCTCAGGTTTTCCTTGTGATGTTCCTAATATGTCCCCATTACTGTCTTCAGTCTGGCACCTATGTCTCTCACCTCTTATTATTTTTTCCTTTTTTTTTTTTACCCATTCTTTGAGTTCTCTTTCCTGTTCTTTTTTTTCCCCCTTGTAAATTGGGTAAACAGATTGTCGTTTATTGTTTCTCCAGTTTAATTTCTTTCTAAATCTCATAGACCCACTTAACTATCCAGAATCATCAGCATTCATTATCATCTCCTCCTGCTTGGTCTGAGAGTGATTTGTAGGTCCTGTCTTCTGAAATCCACCATGGTTGTTAGTTAGATTTCTTCTCTTCACTCAAATGTTTATTGAGGCCAGTCATTTAATTATACAAGTGATATGTGCTGTGAAGAATTGGTTGCTAGGAGAGTACATAACTATAACGGAGAGAGAGCCTGACCTATTTGGGTATCAGAGAAAATGCCTTTCTTGAGCAGTGATGATCTAAATGAGATTTGATATTGCAGTTAACTAGGTAAAATAGGGAGAAACATTGTATTGTGTTGGGCTGCGGGGACAGGATATATGATGTGAAGTTCAGAGAAGGCTGAAATCTGGGGGCTGGGAGAAGAAGGTCATGGGCTGGAGTTTAAGTGGTTAACTGTTGTTAGGTGTACTTTTAGGAGGGAGGGAAATAAAAAAAAATATATAACAACAATCTAGAACAATAGGTGCATTGCAAAATGGCCTGGGAGAGAGGGGGAAGAAACCACACTTTTTTTTTGTGAGGTTTTTTTTATAATTTTTATTGTGATTTTAATAAAAGTTTCTAGCAAGGTTGGATTTGTCATTCATTCATTGTTGCACATTTTCCTCCTTATCAACCCCCAGTTCGCTTTAAAAAAAAAAAAATCATTCATTGTTGCATAATTTCCTCCATCCCCTCCCCCAGTCTACTTTGTTCTAGCAGTTAGTATTTTGCTTACAGCTGACATTAATGATATTGTTTGGTAGTTTCTACATTAGGTAGATCACCTTTCTTGGGAATGGGAACAAATATGGACCTCATCCAATTTATTGGACAAACACAACAATTTTTTTTTTTTAAATCTATTCTAAAAAAAAAATTGAAAAATTATTTGCCATGAAAGTTTGAAAAAATCCAAAATCATATGTTGTTATGTGCCATTGAGTCACTTGCAACTCATAGTAACCCTGTGGACAACAGCTCTGAAACTTGCTCTGTCCTGTGCCAATCTTATTGTCTCCGACACACCTACCCTGATGACCCCAGTCACTGAATCAGTCTATCTCATCCAGAGTCTCCCTCCCTGCACTGTCCCTCCACCCTTCCAAGCAATATGTCCCTCTCCAAGGGCTGGTCGCTTCTTGCAGCATGCCCAGAATATGTCAGATGGAGCTTCAAAATCCTTGCTTCTAAGGAGCATCCTGGCTTCATCCTCCCCCGGAAAAACCGGTTTGTTCTCTTAGCAGTCCATGATATATTCAGTACTCTTCTCCAGCACCACAATTCAAAGGCATTGATTATTTTTCTATCATCCTTAGTCATTGTCTAGCACCTTAATCTCCAGAATGGCATCGTTGCTGTCCAGGACTTTGGAGAGGTCTCTGACAGCAGACTTTCCCAATGCAGTTCAGCATTTAATGAATATTAAAAAAAATTGAACAGTTTTGCATTCCTTTTTTTTTTATGTACTTTTAAAAATCCAGTAATAATGTTTTCTACTTCAGCACATTTCACTTTGCATTAATTTCAAATTAGGTATGTAGCTACATGTGGTTGCCCTGTTGAACAGCAAAGATGTAGTAGATCTGATTGACATTTTCAGTCACCTTTAATTGATTTGACATTTATGGAATACTGTACTAAACAGGGTAGTGCTGGATGTAACTTAGGGAAATTAACAGCAGAGTTAAGGGTTTTCTGGGGCATAAGGGGTCAAGAGTTGCATTGCTGTTGTGAACCCAAAGGCAGTTGATTTGAATCCATCTACTTCTCCACACGAGAAAGACAGTCTTCTTCCATGCAGTTTATAGCCTCTGAAAATCTGCTAGAGGGTCAGCTTTGAGTTGGTTCTGACTCAGAGACAGTGAGTGAATGAATATACTCAACAACTGGAGGGTATACATTCTTTCAAGTTAGCATCAGTCATTAACTAAGGCAAACTGTATACATGGTCACAAATCAGTTTAAAAAAAAGAATTTCAGTCACACAGTGTATTTTGTGGCAGCATCACAATTGGAAATGAATAACAATAAAATAACTAAAAGATGACAGGAAGAGTTCCCTCAGACAACCCCATGGAGCTCAGCTCTGCTGTCTTAACACATTGGGGTCACAGTGCATCAGCATAGACACCACAGCATTGATTTTAAAAGTAGAAAACTGACAAAATTTACAGGCAATAATATGTACCTTCTTTTGTCAAGTTTTGCTAAATAATTTCTTAGCCTGCAATAACCTAGCAATAAAATTAGTGAGAAAAAATATTTAAAAAATTGCAGGGAATAACTTTATAGATATGAGGAGGATTAAGTTTAGTAATAAAAATTATCTTTATGATGGAAACGTCAAATTTCCTTGAATTCGGATTTACTTTAGCTTTCCGATGTGCCTGTTTTGGAAAATAATTGAACCTAGACATGCTTTTAAAACCTGTGAAAATATTTACAGTTGAGAATTTGAACTTAGTATTGAAATAATAAATACTTATGTGTGTATGCATAGTGAAGATACGTGTTTACTTTCAGGACAGTGGCATTTTGAATGAATATGCAGAAATGATCTCGGGGATTTACATAATCTCATTGAGCTAAAGAAAAGAACACTTAAAAAAACATTGCTTCTTTTTTCTTTTCCTTGCTAGGTTTGCTGACAAGAAGGAAAGGTTAAACCGTCTTAAGAGCAAGCAAGAAGAATTTCAAAAAGAGTGAGTGCGGGGATTATTTTGCGCTTTATTATTTGAAGTTATCCATCATTTGGTCTTAATGCAGTGCTGTGGCAGATAGATAAGTGGATTGTTAATTAATTGAGTTTAGGTCAAACATCTACAAAGGACCACTATTATAAAAAGCTAAGGAAAAATTTACACACAGACTATATATATCATTCTTGTATGTTTACCAAGGATGAGAATGGAGGGTTAGGGGAATAAAATACATAAGAATAGATAATTTGGAAAAGTCCTTGACTACAGACTTTCCCATTGTAATACATCTCCTAATTTCCTGACTGCTGGTACCAAGGGTGTTGATTGTGGATCCAAGGAAAATGAAATCATTAACAGTTCAATCCTTTCTCCATCTGTCAGAATGTTGACTGTTGGTCCTGTGGTGAAGACCTTTGTTTTATTCATGTTGAGATGTAGTCCATACTGAAGGCTGTAGTCCTTGACTTACTGCAGCAAGGGTTTCACATCCTCATTTGCAGCAAGCAGTTATATAATCTGCATAATACCGGTTGTCCATGAGTCTTCTTCTAATCCTAATGCCACATTCTTCTTTATAGAGTATAGCTTCGCAAATTATTTGCTCAGCATACAGATTGAATAGTTATGGCCAAAGGATACAACCTTACACATACCCTTCCTGGTTTTAAACCATGCAGTATTCCTTGGCTCAGTAAGGACCACAGCTTTTTAGTCTAGTATAGATTTTCTTTTTGCACAGTTAAAGTGTTCTGAGATTATCATTTTTCTCAATATTAGCCATAATTACACGAAGGGCTTTAAGCCTTTTGTTAATAGGGTCACTATGAATTGTGCTCAACTGGAAGGCAATCAACAACAAACAGTGCCCTAATTTGTTATGATCAACACCCTCAAATGCCTTTGAATAGTCAATAAAACACAAGTAAACATTATTCTGGTAATCCTCGCTTTCAGCCAGGATCCATTTATAATTAATGAGTTAAATTAATAAATTGTAATGATATGAAACAAAATCTGTGAATGATTGAATGAAAAATTTATATGATTTGTCAGCTTTCACCAGAAATGAAATAATGACATAAAAAATGAATAGAGTTGCACAACAACAACAAAAAAAAAGGAAGCAAGAAGAGTTTCAAAGAATGAAATTATTTACTCTTTGAATTGTCGAAGTTATCTATCCACCATTTGATTTAATTCAATGCTATGGCATGCAGTTAAGAGAAATGTTAATTTATTGAGTTTGGGTTAAATCTTTAAAAGTGTGAGTGAGCTGCAAAGAGCCGTATCTGGGAGAGGTAGAATAGGGAAAACTACCACATTTTAGAAAACTCTGGGATTATAGCTGGTGCTTAGTGAATGTTGTGGTGTTGGGTAACATTGAGTCCGAACTGACCCATAGCTGACCCACCAGCTGCTTTTCAGAGATAGTAAATTACACAGGAGGAGATTATCACAATAGCAAGAAGCCACCAGAGCTTGAATGTGGAGATGGAGGAAATCAAATGGACCCTGATGATTAATATGGGGCGGATGAGTTAAGGAGCGTGTATATGATTAGATTTAAATTAGAAATGTTTGCTCATAAGGACACCACTGTTTTTGTTTTTCTTTCTGTATTTTCTGTTTTTCTTTCTCCTGCATCATGGTTTTGCAAAGGATAATCCTGCAGATCATCTGTATCAGAATTAGTTAGAGTAACAGTGGCGTCACCAAGAGTCAGAATGGACCCAATGACCACAAACAAGAACAACAGTGATTGAAATATGAATTCTGAAAATCCTGTCTTCAGATCCTCTGAGTTAGTAGGTTTGGAATGAAGACTAAAAAGCTTGTGTTTTTGAAAATAAACACTCCTCTGAGATAATCATTAAATCTTAAATGCAAAATATGCCTTGAAGTCTTCTTAAAACCAAAGAGTATAAATAAGCAAACAAAAACCAAAGAGCACTTTAGCTTGATCAGTAAAGAACATAATCATTGAGAATTGTGCACGTTAAGAACCACATATGATCAGATTGTCAACAGCAACTTGAAAGATTAGATGGAAGGCAGGGAGTTCAGGTTAATGGGGAAGGAGTAAGTTGCAAATAAAGGAGAATAGTAATATAACCCCTGGAAGAATGTAATCTTTGTCATGGATTACCATTTAGAAAAAGAAGACATTCAGATGGCCAACAAGCACATGAAGAAATGTTCAAAATCCCTAGCTCTGAGAGAGATGCAAATCAAAACAACTATGAGATATCATCTCACCCCAGTCAGAATAGCAAAATTTAACAGAACAGCAAGCAACAAATGCTGGCGAGGTTGTGGAGAAACTGGAACCCTTACTCACTATTGGTGGGAATGTAAAATGGTGCAACCACTGTGGAAGGCGGTATGGCGCTTTCTCAAAAAGTTGCAAATAGAGATACCATTTGACCCAGCAATTCCACTACTGGGAATATATCCCAAAGATACCATAACTGACATCCAAGCAGATATATGCACACCCATGTTTATGGCAGCTCTGTTCACAATAGCAAGGAGTTGGAAACAACCCAGGTGCCCATCAACGAACGAATGGCTAGAGAAGCTGTGGTATATTCACACAGTGGAATACTATGCTGCATTGAAAAACAAGGAACTCATGCAATATTATTCAAAATGGGTGAGCCTGGAGGACATTATGCTGAGTGAAATATCTCAGTCGCAAAAGGACAAATATTGCATGGTGCCACTGCTGTAAAATGGGACTGATATCAGGGTGGGGGTAAGACTAAGAAAAACTGGATAAATTGTGACTGCATGGAAACAGATGAGGGACTGAATAATTTAGAAGCGATGTATGATAGGGTATTATGGTTATCACAAGAATCCACAATTAAAGTTGCATAGTGGAATGTACTTGGGGCGGTGGGAGGGGTGCGGGGGGATTGTGTACTAGGGAGGGAGTCTTTCTTTTGCTTTTGAAAGAGGAGCGAACTGGGGGGTGGGGGGAGAGGGCTGGTTGGGTAGAGAAGTGCAGCAATGAATGAATGGAAACCCAAATTCTCTGTAAATATTCATTAAAATTATTTTTTAAAAAAATTTAAAAAAAAAGAAATCCTTGTATTGATATGTGTTCTGTTGTATATTCTCAACTGCAAAAATAAAATTACTGATTTTTGGGGGGGAAAAAAAAAATCTTGTGCCCTTCATTGACCAGGTACTGTTCCCTGGATTCATACATGTGGCTGATATAATTCCGTTTTCTTTCCACCGCATTGTTTTTCCTCTTCTCTGGAAACAGTACTCGTCACTCAAGGTCCATATGGGTTAGATCATCTCCAGTGAATTGTTTCCAAAACTCACAACCATAGGAGAGTCCACCCTCTCTGGTGTCTATTAATATAGGGGCTAAGTGTCCCCAAAAGTGTCCTTGGAGTTTCTCAGGTCAGTCTGCATTAGCCAGGTAACCACATTCTTAACAAATGAAATGGGTTAAGATACCCTGCGTTAGAAAATCTACTTCAATTTATTTAACTCAGCAATTTCTTTAGTTTGCTCACAGAAACTATATTTTCCCCATAGGACACTTCATTCCATAGAAGGAATATTTCTCTTTACTGTTTTGTGCTATTTGACATCTAACCATAGAAGTTTGAATCATGAGTTGTTTTGTAACTATTACCATCATTATTACAAAATGACTTCTAAAAAGAGCTTAAGGAGCTCTGGTGGCCTAGTGTGTAAGCAGTTTCTCTACTTTCCAAAAAGCCATGTCTCTGGCAGTTCATATCCACTAGTGACTCCAAAGGAAAAAGCTGTTAAATCACTGATGTGATTTATAACCTCCAAAAACCCACAGGACCACCTGCTATGAGTTGGTTCATGCTAGATGGTGATGAATTTAAGTTTATTTTTTCTTGCTCTTTTTACAGAGTATCAAAAGCTATAGAAGGAAAACGGCTAACAGATCAGTTGGTAAGTTGTGAGGCTATTTAAATTAATATTCTTTGCTTTTGAGACACAAGCACTTTTTGTAATAATGTGGTGGCTTGCTTTTTGCTGTGATCCTGTAGCTGTGCCATTGATGTTTCAAATAACAATCTGAGCCCTCATGGTGAACACATTTCAGTGGAACTTTCAGACCAAGACTAGGAATAAAGATCTGACAACGTACTTCCAAAAAAAAGATTGGCCCGTGAAAACTTTATAGGTAACAGAACATTGTTCAATACAGTGCTCGAAGAGGAACTCTGTGGGAGAGGATTGCTTGTTACATGACTAGCAGAATCTTTGTATTTCAATTTTTTATTTTTTTAAAATTAAAGCCAGACATGAGGTTATTGTATTTGGTTATAAAATGATGGTTGCTTTGTTATTAGGTGCTGTTGAGTTGAGTATGACTCATTGCAACCCTACGAGTAGCAGATCTGAACCCTGTCCTATCTTGTGCCATCCTCACACTTCCTGACATATTAGAGCCCTTGGCAATAATCACTGTGCCAATCCATCTGTTGAGGGTCTTCCTCTTTCACCAACCCTCAGGCTTTCCAAGCATGATGTCTGTTGTCAAGGAGAAACCTCTCCTAGCAACATGCCCAAAGTATGTGAGACGAAGCTTTATCATCTCTGTCACCAAGGAGCACTTCAGCCACACTTTATCTAAGACATGTTTGTTTGGTTTTTTTGGCAATCCATGGGATACTCTTCTGGCAATTTCCTGTCTATGTACAGCTCTAGGTGATTTTGAATTATCTTTAGTATTTTGCTTGTGTGTGATATTAATGCTATTGTTTGATAGTTTCCACATTCAGTTGGATCACCTTTCTTGGGAATGGGATCAAATATGGATCTCTTCCAGTCAGTTAGCCAAACAGCTGCCCTCAAAATTTCCTAGCATAGATTGGTGATCATATCCAAGGTTCTTTCTGTTTGTTGATACATGTCCTCAATTCCTGGGACCTTACTTTTTGCCAGTGCCTTCAGTGAAGCTTCAACTTCTTCCTTCAAAATCAAAAAGATCTTGAGTCTGTTCACTTGAATTTTGACATTATTTTAAGAATAGGTTTAGAGGAGCTCTGGTGGCCTAGTGGCAAGAAGCTGTACTGCAATCCCAGAGATAAGCAGTTCAAATCCTCCAGATGCTCTGCTGGAGAAGGAGGGACAATCTCCTCCTGTACCAGTCAGATCCAATTTGATGGTACACACACAAAAAGTAATAATAACAAATAAAAAAGAATAGGATTGAAGAATTGAACACCATTGTTTAAAGATCAGCTGAGTTATGGGATGACATCAATGATATCATTCATGAAAAGAACAGAAGGTCATTACAAAGACAGAGGATAAAGAAAAAAACAGAATGGATTTCAGAAGAAACTCAAAATTGCACTGGAGCATCAGGAAGCAAAACAAAGGAAAAATATGCTTAAGTAAAAGAGGTGAACATAAAGCAGGAGAAGACAAAACAGGGAAGGAATATGCAGAGAACTGGAATTGGAGAATAAAAAGGGAAGAACTCGCTCTGTATTTCTCAAGTTGAGAAAACTGAAAAACAAATATAAATCTCTAGTAGCTATGTTGAAGGATGCCAAAGGCAGTATTTTGAATGATCCAGAAAACATCAAAAGAAGGTGGAGGTAATAAACAGAGTTATTATACCAAAAAGAATTGACAGACATTGAAAAATTTTGGGAAGAACCATATGAACAAGAGCCAAGGGTAATGAAGGAAGAAGAGTAAAGATTCAGAATGATGGTAGGGAATAAAATGTCTTGGTAAAAGGAGCTTAAGGTGAAGGCCATAGTCCCTTATGCCACTCCTCCCCACTAGGGAAACCACTTAAATTGTTTTTGGTTTCACGAGTAAGGAATCATGTTAGCATAGAGTGTTAAATGTTGGGCTGCTCATCAAAAGATAGGTAATTCCAGTCCATCTGTGCTCTCTAGGAGAAAGATAAGCCAGTCTCCCATAAAGCCTTTTTTTGATGCTGAAGCCCAGGAGTCAATTTTTCTCTTAAGATTTATAGCCATAGAAACCCAGTGGGGGTGTTCCATGAGTTGGAATTTGTTTGAGGCTAGTGGGCTTGTTTGGCTGGTTTTGTGGAGGTGGGATTTTCATCATTTTATTTTGTAAGATTATAACTGAAAATAGATAGTGACCCAGGAAAAACAGATCCTATTACTCATAATTACAACCTTTGTGATATTTACTACATTCTTTCTTCCAGAGATGGAAAATAATGTCCTGCAAGATGAGGATTGAACAGCTTAAGCAAACAATATGTAAAGGAAATGAAGAAATGAAGAAGAGTAAGTAATTCCCACCCCCTCCAGGAAAACAAAGAACCATGAATGGCCAAACAGGTTACTACCAAAATGTTGACAATTTGTAACCATTCATTGGCTCCTTGGGAGAAAGTCCTAGCAGATTTCTTCTGTGAAGATCATTGCCAAGGACACCCTGTGGGGGCAGCTGTCAGCCACAGGTAGTTACTGTGAGTTGAAGTTGAAGACACCAACAACCATTTAGGATTATTGTGGGATTTCAGAGGATAAGAAGCCAGTGAGGCAGGAGGAGATAGACAGCAGGTTAGGTAGAGGGACAAGAGAATTTGGAAAATTTTTCCACTTTTCTTTCTCCTAATAATTTACAGAAAGATTTTCCTTAAAATAAATATGTAAATGCAGAGACTTAAAATGGGATCCTGTTTTTATTTTGCTTTAGTTTACTTGGAGTTCTGAGTTGATCTTGGCATTCAGTTGGTTGTCCTAATCAACTGACATCAGAAGCACAGAATGTTTTCTTTTTCCTCTTTTAATGAGTCTAATACATATTTTAACCTAAGCTCGTTTTACATTGCTTATATACTTTATATCTTAGGTGGTTGTTAATATTCAAGAGAGTACTCTTTAAAAATCCTACGTTCTTTAGAAATACTGTATTTCTGTAGATCAGTGTTAAGAATTTTGGATGGGTCACCAGCATATAATTTGTACCAATTTCTTGTCTACTCACTGTTTTCAGAAGCAAATATTTTATAGAAGGTTGTGGTGTTTGTCGTAATAAAGGCTTGTGCAGAGTTAATAAGCTGAGGGTAGGGTGGTTGGGTGGGGCAGGCATTATGGAGAACAGATGCTCAGAACTACAAACTGATTGCTGAGTTTTATAGTGTTCTTCAAAGCCCTGGTTCCATAGCAGCATAGGAACTTGTTATTGGTTCTCTCTCTTTTCCTGTCCTCCCATGGTTTTGAGTGCAGAGGTTTGCCACCTGGCATCAGCGAGCCTCTTGAAATTTCTGAATTTATTAGCATGTGTGTTTTTTTTATGAGCAAGCTACTTTTAACAGATTTCTAATATTCTTATCAAACTGCAAACAACAACAATAAAAATGCAGAAAATAAAGGAAACATTTCTAAAGTGGACCCTATAACCATGGTTTTCATCTCTAGAGAAAATCCTGAGTCCACATTGGATTTATGACATTAAAATCTCATGGACAGTGTCAAGACAACATCAGAATATAGATTCTCAAATGATCTGTTGTAAAGAAAAAGTTGTATGTTCCTTCCCTCCGCCCCTCTTTGTAGTTTATAATCTATCATAAACTTGATACTTTTCTAAAGCACAATAAAAAGTTATTAGAATAATGATTCCCCACTTGAATGTCCATGTAGTGTCAGCTTGCTGTTAGGTTATTAAATTCTTTTTCCCCCTTCGAATTTTATCAGTACAGTTGTTTTCCACTGTTTTCGTCTCACATAACTTTGAATATGTTGTTTCGAGAGGATATTCCTTGGAAAGGGACATCATGCTTGGAAAGGTGGAAGGTCAGCAAAAGAAGACCCTCAACAAGATGGGTTCATACAGCATCTGCGGCAGTGGGCTCAAAAGTGTTGGGGGTAAAGATGTCACAGGATGGGACAAGGTTCAGGTCTATTGTTTACAGGGTCACTAAGTCATAATCAACTCAATGACACCTAATAATAATATCTTTTTTAGCTTTTTATTGTGCTTTCAAGGAAGGCAAATTGTTTTCCATTTAACCATTCCTACACATCACCCATATTTTTGTTTTATGATACTAATTACAATACCATAATTTTGACAGCGCTTTTTTAGCTTCTTCCCTGTGATTCTCATTTCCATCGGTTCTTCTGACCTATCCATTCCTGCTTCCTGAGCTTTATTCCTGTGCAAATACTGCCCTTTTAATCTCTTGTATGTCTACTCTAATGTGTGAGACCTCTCTGGTGTTAACTGTTCACCTGATGGATCTTCCTCTTGTTTGCCTAAAAGTTGAGCCATAGGATTGAGTTTTGTTCCAAGCTGGAAGGGTGACTATGGACCGTTATCCTCAGGGATTTCTCCTTTAGACCAGCAAGTCTGGCCATATTTAGGATTTTGAGTGATGCATGTTCTTTTCAGGACTCTCTTCTGTGAGTAGTAGTAGTAGCAGTGGTGGTAGCCAGGCATCATCTATTTATTCTGGGCTCAGGGTCGTTGTTGTTCAAGTTCATATGCCATTAACTCTTTGGATTGTTTGAATACATCTCTGCTTTTTCTTTGGTCTTCTTTGTTTCAGGCAGGGAAAAACAGGTAGTTGTACTTTATATGACTAAATGCTCACTTTGTATTTCTAATGTTGGTATTATTGACTGGTAACAATTGGCAGATCAGTCTTGGTTCATTGGCCCCACTTTGAGTCAAACTGGTCTAAGAGAGGTGACTAGGGTTGGAAACCACTGTTTCTTTAAAGGTAGGGTAGTTATTATCCTCTCGACCAGACTCACAAAACTTTTCTAAAGATTTTAAGGAAATTAGCATGACCTCAAACCCATGAAACAAGAGCATTGTACCAAAGTAATTTTTTTTTAAACTTCGTTTTCTCAGATACCATGTACATTGAGAAAAATTCACAAATTATAATCTGTTTTATCTGTAAATTGTTTGCCTTGAATATTTTTTTTATAGAATCTTTTAACATAGGATTTCATGGTACAGATAGGCATGATATAGTAGGATTCATATAATTTATGTCACAGGAAGAAAAAGTTAAATTGTATCAAGTTTCAGGATTGCATTGATCCATGATTCAATAAAAGTTCTCCAGTGATAGGAAGGAAGAGTAGATCACAACGGTAGCATCAGAACTTTAGAGAAGGTGTATAGAGAGAGGAACAGTGTTAACTCTGATTGCTGAGTCTGGACTGGGTGCGGACCGGGTGATTGTGAGGGTTGAATTTGAATTGTGAGCAGATTGAAGTTTTGCAGGTGTTTTTTTTTTAAGTTCTAGGAGTCCTGGTGGTACTTATTGGCTGTACACCCAGCTGCTAACAAGAAGTTCAGCCCCACCAGCCATACTGGAGGCAAAGGACATGTCAATCTTTCCCATAAAGATTACAGTTTAGGAAACCCTGTGGAATAATTCACTGAATTTCAGCTGTCAGCTCAGTACACGTTGGTTGGTTTGATTTTTAATTGATTCTTGGAGTGACATATGCTTGTGAGGGTGAAGGGACAGCGCAGGAGAGGAAGACCCTTGATGAGATGGATTGACTCAGTGACTGGGGTAATGGGGGTCGGTGTGTCAGAGACAATAAGATTGGTGCAGGATAGAGCAGGATTTAGGGCTGTTGTATATAGGGTCGCTATGAATCACAGGTGACTTGACAGCACATAACAACAGTTTCTGCAGAGATTTTGTACTTTGGTTTTTGCTACTTTAGCTAGATTTTGCTGCAACCCAGCAACTCTTCTCAGGTTTTAGGAACCATAGCCTGGAGGACTCTACAGAAATGACAGGCAGGACATTCAGAGGTCTCCTTCCTGGTTGGATTAGCCAGACTTTTGTTCCCTGTGTAGCAGTCTTGGGTCAGTTTTATTGCTCATGGTTTTCTGCTGTGTGACCACTTGAGATTATCCGTGGGATCATTGACTGTAATCCACAGCCTCAGAGAAATCAGATACCCAGTGACGTTTCAAACTTGAATGAATGTCCTCTTACCCTTCCTCCTTTCCTTCAACTTTTTCTGCTCTTATTTTTTCCTCATATTGTGTTGTTATTTGAATAAAATTTTACAGAGCAAATTTATTTCCATTAAATAATTTACACATTTTGTGGTAAGTGCAGTCCCTTCAGTGGTTCTGTTTCTGTTTGCCTTTTTTCGACCCCTCCTGCCATTTGAACTTTGTTTTGGGGCAAATACTGCCCTTTTCGTTTTACAGCTTATCTGAGAAACATGCTCCACGTGGATGTTTTTGTTCACTTTATAGACTTCATTTTTGGCTGAAAAATAATCTCTGGGTTTGGGTTCAGTTGCAGTTTGAAGAGTATCTTAAGAATCACAGTCTTGGAGGTTTCCTCAGTTTCTGGGGATCGATATTTATTCCCATTCCAAAAAAAGGTGATCTGCCAGAGTATGGAAAGTATCAGACAATATTATTAATAACACATGCACGCAAGATCCTGCTGAAAATTATCCAGAAATGACTGGAACAACACATCAACAGAGAACTGCCAGATGTACAGGCTGGGTTTAGAAGAGGCCGTGGTACTAAGGATACTATCATGGTACTAAGGATACCATCGCTAATGTTAGATGGATCCTGGCTGAAAGCAGGAAGTACCAGAGAAATGTCTATCTGTGTTTCATTGACTATGCAAAGGCATTTGACTACATGGATAACAACAAACTGTGCCTGACTCTAGGAAGAATGGCAATCCCAGAACACTTAATTTTGCTTATGCAAAACCTGTACTTGGACGAGGAGGCAGTCATCAGAATGGAGCAAGGAAACACTGCATGGTTCAAATTGGGATGGCTGTACACCAGGGATTTGTCCTGTCTCCATACATTTTCAGTCTATAGGTGGAATAGATCATCTGGGAGGCTGGCTTCTCTGAGGAGAAATGTGGCATCAGATTAGGCAAAATCAAGACAAATGGAGAAAAGATTGAAGTTATAAACACTTTTATCCTGCTTAGATCCACAGTCAACACCCTTGGTACCAGCAGTCAAGAGATAAGATGTGTTGCACTGGGAAAGTCTGCAGTCAAGGGCCTTTTCAAAGGAACCTGATTCAAGTTATACATTTATAAGTTGGACAGTGGCTAAAGATGACAGAAGAATCAACACCTTGGAGTTGTGGTTTTAGAGAAGAGTACTGAATATCCCATGAACTACCCAAAAAACCAAACAGATATGTTTTGGGGAAAGGGCAGTGCTCCTTGAAAGCAGGGATGGCAAAGCTTCATCTCACAGACTTTGAGCATGTTGTTAGGATGGGCCAGTCCTTGGAAAAGGACATCATATTTGGAAAGATGAAGGGTCAGTAAAAGAGGAAGACCCTCAACAAGATGGATTGACCCAGTACCTGTAACAATGGGTACATCCAACAATGGGACTGTAACAATGGCCATATCAGAGATGGATAGGGTAAGGGTTCAGATCGAGCATTTACGTTGGGTCACTTTGATCAAACTCAACTCAGTGGCACCTAACAACAAGCTTGTTATGTTGAGTCACTTGTGACTCATAATGACCCTATATACACCAGCTCTGAACCCTGCTCTATTCAGAGCCAACCTTCTTGTCTCTGACACACTTACCCCATTACTCCGGTCACTGAGTCAATCCATCTCACTGAGGGTCTTCCTCACTTGCGCTGTCCCTCCACTCCTCCAAGCATGATGTCTCTCTCCAAGGACTGGTCCCTCCTTGCAACGTGTCCAGAGTATGTCAGATGAAGCCTCAGAATCCTTGCCTCCAAGGAGCAGCCTGGTTTCACCCTCTCTTGGATGAACCTATTTGTTCTTCTTGCAGTCCGTGGTCTATTCATTCTTCTCTAGCACCACAGCTCAGAGGCCTCAAATTCCCTTTCTGTTATCCCTAGTGATTGTCCAACTCGCTGATGCATAGAAAGTAATTGCGAAGACCACAAGCTAATTGTTATTTTTGTTTTTCTTTTGTGATCTTTATAGTTTAGGTTTTTCATTTAGGTCTTTGATCTATCTTGAGTTAGTTTTTATGTATGGTGTGAGATGTAGATTTTGTTTCATTTCTCTGCAGTTTGCTATCTGGTTTTGCCAACATAAATTGTTGTTTTTTTATTTGAATGAAGGTTTATAATTTTTTTTGTACCATTATTAAGAAACATTGTTTTATAACCACTACCATTTAATTGCCACTGATTCATGTAATTAATTACAATGTTTAATCAACCTTTTACTATGTATTGCCTTTCCCTTCACCCATCTTTATATTAATTTTTCTTCCCCTCTCCCTTGCTTGCATCCCAACCCTTCAAGACTGAAGTACCATCTCACCCTTGTAACAAAAGAAAAATTGTACAAGCCCATAAGCAACAAATGCTTGCAAGGATGCATTTATTATACTTCTGAGTTCTCAGTTCTGTCCCATTCCTATGTGTTTTTATCTTTGTTCTGTACCATACTGTTTTGACTACTGTAGCTACACTTCTGAGATTAGGAAGTATGAGGACGAATAATTTGTTGTTCTTCAGCAGTGCTTGCTTATCTGAGATTTCTTTCCATATAAAGTCGATAAACAGTTTTTCCATTTTGTTGAATGCTGTGGATGAAAACTAGATCAGGATTGCATTATATTTATGCCTCTTAACATTTTCTTGAGTAGTATTGACATTTCACTATGTTAAGTCTTCCTACCTATGAGTGTGAGTAGTGCATAATACATCTTTTTGTTGACTTAAAGGTCAGTGATGGTTTGAAACCACTGGCCTCTCTGTGGGAGAAAGAGACTGGAAAGTCTCCTGTAAAGATTTATAGCTTCAGAGACCTGATGAACAGTTGTTGTGAGTCTGACCAACTTGACAACAATAGGTTTGTGGTTGGGTCTTTGGTTTTTTGGCACTTATATTTTAGCATTTTCTTTGTATTCATTTTATTCTAAATTTTTCATTGCTGTTGGCTATCATAAATGGTAGTTTTTCTTTTTCAGAGTTCTCTTTGTTGAGGTAGAGGAATCTGAATGATGATTGGATGCTGATCTCATTCCCTGTCACTTTTCTGATTCTTTTATTAGTTCTAGTAGCTTTCTTGTAGGACTTGCTAGGTGTGAGATCATATCATGTGCAAATAGGGATAGTTTGTTTTTTTCCCTTGTATGTCCCATCAAGTCGGATCCAGCTGGCACAGGAGGAGATTGTTTCTCCTTCTCCAGCAGAATAGGCATAGTTTTGAATTAGCTGTCTTCTCTGCCTTCCATGGCTTTCTTTGGAGCTTATTCTAAGAAAGGAAAGTTCTTGTATACTAAACTTACTTGGGACTCTTACTAGTGGTTAAAAATCGAGATCCAGGGTTGTTTTAGAGGTGGTCCCCTTCTACTTTTTGTAGAATATTTTTTAGAACTAAACTCTCAAATTTCTGTTTAAAACTAGTGAGTTAGATTTTTGTTATTGTTTGTTTTAATGACCCGGGTTTTTTGAGATTTCACTTTGTATTTAGACTGTAGATAAGGCCTGTAGGGTTCTATAGCACTCTTAAGAATTGCTTGTAGAAATAATCATTAAGCGTGATTTATTTATTTTAGATTCAGAAGGCCTCCTCAAAACCAAGGAAAAGAACCAGAAGCTTTACAGTCGAGCACAGCGGCATCAGGAAAAGAAAGAAAAGATTCAGAGGCACAATCACAAGTTGGGTGATCTGGTAGAGAAGAAAACCATTGACTTGCGAAGTCATTATGAGCGTCTGGCACAGCTTCGGCAGTCTCACATATTAGAGCTCACATCTGTCATTTTCCCTATTGAAGAAGTAAAGACAAGTGTGAGGTAATAGTGACAAACCTTTTCATTCCAAATAGATCAATCCAAGTGGATCTTCCACGCAAACCAGCACCTCATTTATGGAACCTCATTCATTGTTTTCCTGGTAAAGAATCTTACCTGGTTTAGCAAACAGTACACATTGTACAAAGTTGGGGGTGCACCTATGTTGAAGGACAGAGATGGCTCAGGGGTGAGGCTCAGGCTGCTTTACGCTTACTGAGCTTTCAGGAAAAAGCTGTTGTTGTAACTGGGTTATAAACCACCATAGTTTGTGTTTTGGGGTTGTTGGTGTTTGGTTTTTTTTTTCATTTCACATACAGTGAGTCCACATAAGGGAGCAGTGGTGGCCTAGTGGTAAGAACCTACACTTGCGTCCCAAAGGCACCAGCTGCTCCACAGAAGAATGAGCAGTCTCCTCCCATGCAATTTACCGTCTCTGAAAGCCCACTGGAGGCACGGCTGTGAGTCTGTTTCGAGTTGGTGGCACACAACAAGTCTAAATAAATGCCATGCACATTCATATAATGTTCTTAGTGCATGATAGGAGACCAATATGCAAAGGAATTACGTGGTGTGTGAAAACCATGTACCATGCATGTTGTTTGTGGAAGGATTCAATATTTAATGGTAGTGAGATTGTAATCATAAGTGGGTATTGGTTAGTTGTGTGACGTAAAATAGGTTGTTGAAACTCTACATCATATTTTTTCTTTTGTGTTAAATATACCTAATAAATGCTTATCTCACAGAGTAAGTATAAGGTCATATGTAAGAAAATAGGTAGTCCTGAGTGTCTCTCATGTGTTGTTGTTGTTATGCCGTCGAGTCACCTGCAATCTGTAGTGACCCTGTGTACAGCAACTCTGAGATACCTTGTTCCTAACTGCCCTTTATCATCAAGGTGTCCCTCAATGGTACGGTTAGCACAGTGAAAACCTTGACAGACTTGAGGAAAGATTTTTTTGCAAAAATAGAGTTATCACTAATTTTTCAGTTTGGAAAAAAATAAACTTTTCCTAATAAATGTGCTATGTTAACATGTAATAGTTTTTCAGATGAGGTAATTTTAAATTTTCTCAGGCTTAATTTGTAGAGGGGTTTTCCATTTTTGAAATAAAAAATAATCTTATTAATAAAATTATTTAAAATAGCTTACTTTTATAATTTACATGAAGCATGTTATCCAGATTTGTACTAGTCACCCAGGTAACTGCTGGGTATAAACATCGTCAAACTCTGGACACAAACCATTATATGAAAAAGAGCATGCTACCATTCCTGGATGATGATGAAACCATAGAACATAAGGCCTGACATGTAATATGTATCATAAATAAACAAAAGCTCTTTGGTATCCAGATGTTAAGTATCCTGAGGGATTTTGGAGGAGTAATGGTGACGAATTGGTTAAAGTACTGTAATTGCTAACCAGAAATACAGTGGTCCAAACTCACCAGCTGCTCTAAGAAGAAAGATGTGGCCTTCAGCCTCCTTAAAAATTTACAAACTTAGGAACCTTACGGGGGAAGTTCTGCTTTATCCTGTAGAGTCACAGAGTCATACTTGATTTAATAACAGTCGACTTAGTTTTTCTGTTTTAAACTAGTTATGAGATCAAATGTTTTGAGAATCCAGTAGTTACGGACCATAGCCTATCTTTCTTATTCTTGTGTGGTCTTCTTTATATCTGATAGCAATGATTTTTGTGCTAGTTACATTCCTGCCCTTTTGCACGTCTGTCAAGTATATTACATGTCCTTGAAGATCTAAGTTCTAAAAATCCCCACGTGTCTTCTACCTTGTAGAGATCCTGCAGATATGTCTTCAGAGAGTGATAGTGCCATGACCTCCAGCACTGTGAGCAAGCTTGCCGAAGCCCGAAGGACAACTTACCTCTCTGGGAGATGGGTCTGTGATGATCACAATGGAGACACCAGTATTAGCATCACTGGGCCTTGGATTAGCCTCCCGAACAATGGCGACTACTCTGCCTATTACAACTGGGTGGAAGAGAAGAAAACAACACAGGGGCCTGGTGAGAAGCACAGTGTATATTTTTTCTCTCTCTAATATTTACATAGCCTAAAATTAACCATCAGTGGCATTTACAATCCGCAGTGTTATGCATCCATCTCCTCTCTTTCGTTTCTGAACCTTTTCACCACCCCAAAGAGATCCTCTTCCCAGCCTTCTTTGTGTCTGTGTGGATTTACCTATCCTGGACATTGAATCATATATTATGTGGTCTTTGTGGCTAACTTCTTTCACTTATAATATTAAAATATTTCAGGGTTTATCCATATTCAGCAATATCATGTAACAGAACTTTATTCCTTCTTGTGAGTAATATTCTTTTGTGGGACTCTGTCACATTTTATTTATCCATCCATTAGATGTTGGACTAAAACCAAGCCTGATAGTAATATATTATTATCTTTTAGGGGTCATTATTGCTTAAAAAACCCTCACTATTTAAAGAAGTGTATTTAATCGGTTGTTGTTGGGTACCGTAGAGTTGGAGCTGACCCATAGCTGATCCTCTGGTGGGTTTTCAGAAGCAGTTAATTGTACAGAAGAAAACTGCCCATTCTTCTCCCACCAAGTGGCTCATGGCCTTGAATTGTATCACTTTGGGATTGTAGCACAGCTTCTTGTCACTAGACTACCAGAGTTCCCTAGAATCCCATTTTTATTAAAGAGTTTATTTTAGCATTTCTGAATTGACATTGAAATAGCTCAATAGAAAAATTTAAACTTCTTGCCATGTTTTGTGGTAGAGAAGGGTCAGTTGTGTTGTCACTCACAGATCCTTAGCATGAGCTTGTGTCTTGCAGTGTGTCAGGCAGGGCTGTCCTGGCGTGGCAGAAGTGACTGTCACAGAGGTGACCCTTAGCTCTTCTCTGCAGAAGGAGTGGAGAGGAGGGCAGGAAGCAGGTCCCTAGAGGAACCATACCTGGACAAGTGCCCTGGGGAAAACCAGCAGTGCTGTGGTAGAGGTGGAAGCAGTCAAGGGTCCAGAGGAGGGGCTACTGTATTCGTAGCATAGTCCGGGCAGGCCTCTCCTGGAACGTGATATTTAAGTTGAAATCTGAAAGATGAAACTGGCCAGAGTGAGATTTCCTATCAAAGGAATGGATTATGCAAAGAATTAGTATTTAGAGAGTGTCTGAGGAACTTCAACGGGGCTTGAGTGTAGTGTACAGGAGGGGAAAGAGGGAATGAAAGGAGGCCGGAGAGATGAGCAGGGCCTTGATCAATCCTGGCTATAACAGAAGGGGTTGGATTTCATTGGATGGGTAATAGGAAGCCCGTGGAAGGTTTTGTACAGTGGCATTTCAGAGCTCTGGTATCTTTCTATAAGTGTGGAATTTAAAAAAACAAACTTTTTTTTGAGAATTCAGTTGTTAGAATTTAGAAGTTATTAAGTTTGCTGATAGATTCATTGGGCAGGTATCAATTTAGTATCTTCTAATTTGTGCCTGTTCTGATCACAGTATACCAGTAAGTACTGCTTTTGCTATCTACCAGTGGATGTGCAGTGCTGGGGCCGATTGGTGGTGGGTGTGTACAGCCTTAAATAGGGTGCTCGAAGAAGGCTTCTGCAAGGTAATCATTTAAGCACACACGTTTCAAGGAGCCAGAATATGGTTATACTTCACTGTTTCTGAAGGTTATCAGCTGTATTTGAGTGCGTAATTTGACTTCTCCAAGAAAGGGCTTTTATTAGGATTATGTAAAATAACTTCTTTAAAGTAGTGATCACAGTACTAGGCATATCATGATTTTTTTATGATAACTATGTAGTGAATATAAATGCTTCTTTAGTATCTCCAAGTCTGAGAATCTTGGAACAGATTAGATTTTAGACTAGATCTCAAGGACTCTTAATTGTAAGACTGTTCTCCTAAGTATTAATTGTTCTGGAACACATAAAAGCTACATCCTTAGATCTAAACAAATCAGCGGTTTAGACTTTAATCTCATATATGCTGGGACTGTACAGGCTCATTTGCATATGCTACATCTGAAAATCTAAACAGTTTATTTTCTGGCTGAAGAAGTATGATGAGTAAAGAGTAAAACTTAGCTAGTCATCAGTAATGTAAATGATATAGGGAGCTCTTGTGGCCTAGTGGTGAGAAGCTGCACTACAACCCCAAGGCACACAGTTTGAGGCCACCAGCTGCTCCATGGGAGAAGGATGGGCAGTCTCTTCCCGTCTGATTGACAGCTTCTGAAAACCTGCTGGAGTGTCATCTATGAGTCAGTTCCAACTTGGCAGTACACAACAACCACAGTGTAAATGACACCATTATACATGACAAAGCCCAAATTCCTTAATATTTGGAGATTGGAGATAGTTTAGGCTGGAATTAAAGTTGGTTTATAATTGTGTTTTTATACTTCAGACATGGAGCATAATAACCCTGCATATACCATCAGTGCTGCACTGTGCTACGCCACTCAGCTGGTCAACATTTTGTCCCATATCCTCGATGTCAATCTTCCAAAAAAACTGTGCAACAGGCAAGTATTGAATGTAGTGATCTCTCCTTTCCCCTTTTGAACGGGTCGACCAGGAGGGACGGGGGTGGGGGTGGGGGTGGGGGGTTGGGGAGGCGTGTGTGGCATCCGCGGCCCGAGTTTGCAAGGGCGGAGGGAAGCCCCAGACACCGAACCATCTTTTGCTTTGCTCTCTTAATTTTCTCTTGTTCTTATTTATTCTTACTAAACCTGCAATAAAAATTTATATTTTATTAGGATGGAAAACATTGGGATATAAAATATTGAAGTTATTATCATAAGCAAAATCTGTATTGCATGTATAGACCGCAGTATTCTCCCACTAGGGAAAAAAACCCAAACCAAAAAACCCCCTAAAAGCAACGGAAGAGAAACCAGAGTATTCATACTGTATGCTGCAAGATCCTCCTGTGTAGGAACAACACCAGTTCTAACAGGTTCAGTTTTATTTTAAAATGTATTTGTTTTTTAAAAACACAAAAACTCATGTGGCTTGATAATGAAAAATTTAATGGTCTACTACATCCTCAAAAGACCTGCCTGTTTCCACTCTAGTTAGCCTTGGATTTCATGCAAATATAAAACATATTATTACCACCCATTCTCTTTTTACAACTGAGGTAATTTCATACATTGTTTTTAACGTTTTCAGTTAAGCAGATGCATACTGAGCAAAATTTGCTGCACACCACTAGTAAGGGTACAGTGATGAGCAAACATGGCCCCTGCCCTCTTGGAGACTGTACATTTAAAGGAGAGCACAGATAAGAAACAAATCACACCATATATGGGATGGTGATAAGCACTGTGGAGAAAATCATAGAAGGATGAGAGAAAGGGAGCCTTGAGACAGGGAGGGCTTGCTGGGTAAGGGTGGGCAGGATTGTGGTCAGTGTGAATCTGCAGAGAGGCTAGGCAAACTAGCCTAGGCAGATCCCAGGCAAAGGAAACAGCAAGAGCAAAGGTCTTGGGAAGAGTGAGCTGCTGGTAGGACACCTAGCAGTTAGGAAGGCAAACCCTGTAAGATCCTGAAGAGCTATCGTAAGCCTGTGACTATCATTCTGTAACTGGAGAAGTGCAGAATTTTCCTTTAGAGAAGTCTGCCAAGCTCTAGCCAGTTTGCTAGTGATGCGTCAGAGAATCACTTTACAAATTCACCATTTCATTCTCGGTGACTTCTACTTAGTATTGACTCATAGCTGACACTCCATTGGGTTTCCAGGGTTATAAATCACACAGAAGGAGATTCTTCACCTGTATCCCCAAGGAACCTCCTGTGGATTTGAACACCAGAGGAGAGGCTTAGTCTTTGAGTTGAGCAGTGCATCTTCCTACAGATGAGGCCACCAGAGCTCCCCTCATTTCATGAGGGTGCAAATACTTATGTAGAATAAATTCTCAGAAGTCCACCAGCTCAGAAAGTGCGTGTAGTTGTAATTTGTATAATGCAATTGCTCTTCATGAGGGCTGTAGGATTTCCGCCAGCAAGTACAACTTTACAAAATTGTGTTTGTTTTACAGTGAATTTTGTGGAGAAAACCTCAGCAGACAGAAATTTACTCGAGCAGTGAAGAAATTGAATGCAAATATCCTCTACCTTTGCTTTTCTCAGGTATGGAAAATGTGCTGTGCACTATAAGTTTCAGTTTGTTAGTTGTTGAAAATGTTAATCAGTTCTTTGGGTTTTTGTTTTTTCCAGCATGTAAATTTAGATCAATTACAACCACTCCATACCCTCAGGAATCTAATGTACTTGGTCAGTCCAAGCTCTGAACACCTCGGCAGGTAAGAAGGAAATCTGTTGCTTTTATTCTGTGTTGTTTATATGATGACTTTTAACTAGAGTTGAACTTGTTGGACCTGTGAACCAACCCTGAACACTCCAAAAATGGCAAAAATAATGTAGTCTCCTCCAGGAGGGGAGAAAGAAAACAAACTAGCTAATCACATTTGAACTTTTGTGCTCCTCTTCTTACATAACCATTTATCAGAGGAAATACATAACCATTTATCAGAGGAAAACAAAACAAAGAGAAAAAACTCTTTGCCTAGTGTGTGCCCTCCCTCTGTTCCTGTGTACCTTTCTTTTTTGCCTGTTTGCCCATTCCCTCCCTATCCTCACATGTCTTCATCACAGTTTTCTTCCTATCAGTGAGTCAATCTGGCCATCATTTCTTGGGGATAAAAAAGGTCTGTAGAATAAGTCAGTTTGAAATCATTGGCTTAAAAACAAGAAGCAATAACAGCTGGACAGCCAAGACAGGTCAGTGGGATCTTTTGTTTCTCACACTCCATAAAAGCATGAACTCAGTAAGGCTCATTTTCAGGACCATCCAAGCACCACACCTCTTCAAGGTGCTTATTCTTCTCTCCCCTTTTTCTTAGACATCTCATTTCTGCGGAGACCAGACTTGGTTGACATGTTGGCACATTTGATAAGAGAACCAAATATTAAAAACGAGTATGTACTTTTGAGATTCCCTAACTATCGATCATTTGCTTTGACTCTGGAACTCTCTGCCAGGGGAGGGCCCTCTGGAGTCCCAGCCTCGCCAAGTGTGGACCAGTGTGCCCAGCTTCCTCCATGTTGGGATTAACTTAAGTGGCAGTCTTCTCTTTTTCCTCCCTCCCCTAAAGGAAGCCTTGTCTTGGTTGTCCAGTATTGTTAATAATAGATGGCTTTAACAAACAGATATTTATTCTCACAGTTATAAACTCACTTGTTGCCTTCGAGTCAGAACAGACTCAGAGCTGACCCTGCAGCAGGTCTCCAGTCATGGGAAAAGATTGCCTGTCTTTCTGCCTCAGGGTTGCTGGTGATTTAAACCACCAGAGACGTGCAGACTTTGGGTTAGAAATACACCAGAGCTCCATTTATATGCAGAAATAAGACACAGCCATGTCCGAAGGTCTGAGAGGTCAGCATTGCAAACCCACTAGCCATTCTGTGGGAGAAAGATAGGACTGCCTCCTTTAAGATTCATAGCCTCAGAACCTAACAGAAGGTCACCATGTGCTGAAAGACATTAGAGCACTGAGGGGTTTTAGGGGTTTTTGTAAGAAGCAAAGTTAACGTTTATAGGTTGTGATATAGTTAGTGAACTTGATATCCAGGAGAACGGAGAGACTGATGGGAGTGATGTTCATACGACTCAGTAAATGTACAGAAAGCTTTCTTACAGGCCAAACACAGCCAGTTGGAAAACAACAATGGAGAAAAGTTCTCTTTTACTATAGCTTAAAAAACCTAGAAATCTATGGGAAGATAGATGCAAATCTAAATGAAGAACGTTACAAGTTGTTTTTTTGGTTTTTTTTTTGTTTGTTTTTCTGGGTTTTTTTAAGTTGGTTTTTTTTTTAAATGTATTTCTTGAATGCCTGCTGTGTGTCAACTATTATAAGAGGGTGGGTGGGGTTTTCTGAAGTGCAACTATAAGTACAGTGTGCAAGGACATTCTGAGAAAAAGCAGTCAGGGGAGAAAGGGGACCTCTTGAAGCAAAATTATGGTGTTACTAGCATATGCACAACTGAAACAGAAGAACAGAATAGAAAGTCCAAACACAAACCTTTTATATGTGGGAATGTAATATCTGATAGGTGTGGCATTTTGAATCCAAGCATAATAGCAGTTCCGTGGTGCTGGGCCAATTGGATATTCATATGGGGGAAAAGTTGGATATAGACTACATTCCATACAGAAGAATAAATTCCAGATGGTATAAAAGACTTTTATTTTTTAAAACTGTAAAATAACTAGGAGAAAAGACAATGTTTTATAATCACAGGGTGTGGAGGGAATTTTTAAGCTAGTCACACAAAACCATAAAGGGATGGAGTTACACATTTTACTGGGTAAAAACTCTAACCCTCTCTGTGGTAAAAGATATCATAAAGATAGAAGACAAACAACAGACAGGGTTCACACCCTATATAACAGGAAATCAAATCTAGACTGCTCAGATCTTTGAAATCAAGGAAGACAAGCAGTCTAATAGGAAAGTAAGCAGTTGAGACAAATGAAATGCAAGTAACCAGATTTACGTGATAAAATGTCCAGCCTCAGAAGAGAGGCTGTTCCTTGGAATGGGATCCCGTGCTTGGAAAGGTGGAGGGTCAGTGAAAGAGGGGAAGACCCCAACAAGACGAATTGACACAGTGACTGCCGCAGTGGGCTCAAAGTGTGTCAGAGATGGCAAGGATAGCACAGGATTCAGATCTGTTGTTCATAGGTTGCTAGGAGTCATACTTGACTCAACAGCACCTAACAACAGTGACAGTGCACATGCCTCCATAGTGCCAAAGTCTGACCCAGGCTGCAGGGCAAACACTAGCTCAGCGTCAAAACCTCTGAGTCTGGGAGGAGTGAACAGCTCCTGGGAATTAGAATCGGCCTTGAAAGAAGATAACCTAGAACCGGGAGAACAGGGCAGAGCTTTCCCATCCTCATGTATGTTCCTCAAAAATGAATTTATATTCTAAGGGCTTGGGGCATTCAATCTATAGGTGCCTGAGGGAGGAGCTCAGAGAGGGAGAGTTTCAAGTGTGACCTTTCTTGCACACCTTAACCAGAATTGAGGATCAGAGAAGATTCTTAATGGAACTCTGCTTGGGCTTTCTGTTTCCCTTCTGAGCAGATGAACTGTAGGATCAGAAGAATGAGTTTTCTTTGACATGAAGTCAAGCTAAAGAAAAGTTGAGAGTGAGGGTCTCTGATGACGTAGTCCTGCAGGGAGTTGCATTGTTAGTCTAAAGGATAAGCTGCTCTGCCAGGTCAAATCCACCTCCCTTGTTACTTAGAGCCTCTGACGAATCTGCTGGAGCATCAGCTGTGAGTCAGCTCTGACTTGACAGCAGTGTGAGAGAGACATGCATTCTATCTTTTGTTAACTGTAAATAGTCTTGCTCACTTAAACAATCTCATTTTCTCTCCCTGCCGCAATCACCATACATGCACACGTCTCATTCTCCCTGCCCCCCCCCCCCCCAAGAGAAAATTAGTATTTTGGCTTCTGGGTTTGCTTAAAAAGGTTCCATTATTCAGCTTAAAATTAGAGGAGAGATTTTTGCAGTGTTTATTCTACAGAGATGTTAAGTAGAAGAGATTGGAGTCTTTCTTGAGTTCTATCAGATGTGGCCATAGCTCTTTGTGTCCTAGGCAGGTAATGTACCTGTCACCTTAAGGTGAGAGACCTTGGTGGCAAAATGGCCAGGGGCTTCTAAGGGGATATCTTCACCCACTCCTGCTGCTTTCCAGAAATGTAGGTTACTCATTGAAACCAAATTTGTCTAACTTGGTTCTCAGGGACTTGCCCAGTTATTCATGTTTTATTTTGAATCGTTGACTGAGCACCTGTCCCATGCCAAGTGGACTGTGGCCCTGGAAATTCCAGGCAGAGAGCTGGAGTTCAGTGTGGCCCCACCCCACCCTGACTGAGAATTTTCAGATTGGAGGAAGTGTCCTTTCGTCCATCCATCACTCTTGTCTGTCTCCTGTGACCGGGGACAGTGCTGCAAGGACCCTAAGAGTAGATATGGTGGCACCAGACGAGAACCAAAACACCAGGACCAAGCCTCCAAAGCTACAGGAAAGAGGGAGGGAATTGTGTGGAAGTTGGTCTGGATGCAGAGAGAGGCTGGAGGACTCGGGGGCTTACCCTGGCGGTAGATGCGAGACCCCTTGGAAAGGAAAGTTGAACAGAATCCAAGAGCTTTCTATTTATATTTAGTAAGGGAGGAACGCTTCAGCTACTGGATTAAAAAATTGCTTGTGAGCACTTTTAGTAAGCAAGTGTCACGAGGACGGTGAGACAGCTGCTCCAGCAAGATAAGATGGTACAGATGCGTGCTGCCAGCTGGGCAGGGCCTGGGGAAGTGATGGCAGTGCCTAAGGAGCCTGCATCAGGCGGTGAGCAGAGAAAGAGGGCTTGTGTGTGTGCTGTAGCATGGATGTGGAGCTGAGAGAAAGAGTCTGAGATGCTAGCTAATTCTGGTATCTTGGAGAAAAAAAGATGTCTGCAGGACTGGTGGTCCTCAGTGGAGAGCTCCGCCAGGCAAGAGGACATCTGGGAGTGGAGCCAGGAAGAGAAGCATCTGAAAAGATGGTTTCAGAGTAGATTTGTCAAGTGAAGGGGGGGGTGGGGAGCAATGGGAGGGAAGAGAAGAAGTTTAAGGAAACGAGAGTTACTGAAAAGTGTAACATGCTACTCCAGGTGGTCCTTGGTCCTTTGAAGGAGAATGTTTTAGAGGGCAGGAGTGAAAGGGAAGCAGGATTATGGGAGAACTCCAATCCCATTTGCAAAGTAATAATTTCTAGTCTAGTAGAAGCCTAGTAAACTGAGGCCTGCCTGTTCCAAGGTACTTTGAAACAGAAACAGCTCCCTTTAGGCTAAGTTGAGAGAAAGCCTGTGGTGCGTGTTCGGTTTAGTTGGTTTAGTTATTATTACCTGTGAAGCCCTCAGAGCAGGGCTGTCCTGGAAGAGTGAGGTCTCTTGACCTGGAGATAGTGAGTCAGCACTTGGGCTCTGCCAAGGGACACTGGAGGCCTTCACTGGGCTCTTAGAACTCTAGAGGCTGTTAGAACATAAATTAGAACAATAGTTTACGTTTTGTTGTTGTTTTTAACCTCTCTAATTTTTCTAAGAATAATTACCACTGAAACCATGTACAGAACCAGAACCTGAGTGCCTGTCTTGGGAGCAGCAGCGGGAAGATAGAGGCTGTTGTTGAGACTTAGTGCTCCCCTGTAGCCACTCCATGTAAATCCAGGGGGGCTGTGGGTGGGAGTAGCTGCCACTGAAGGTCAAGCAGTCAACCCCTCCTGGGCACAGGCTGATGAGCACTTCAGCGAGGAAAAGGAAAAGGCAGAAGTTCTGCCTGTGTGTGGGTCGCCAGCAGTTCCACAGAGCCTCTTTGAGGGGCGATAACAGGGTGAGGCCTGAGAAAGGTTATTGGATTTGGCAGTGGAGATATTATTAGGGAGCCCTTGGGAAATAAAAAACTATTCTTTTCCCTTGAAATACAGTACAGAATTATGCACTCTGCCAACTGAGTATCTTCTTAATATTTCTTTATTTCATGCAGTAAGTGTGTCTCTGAAAATTGTGATGATAGTTTACAATGTGTGTGAGTGCCTGCGGCATTCCAAGGCATGCTCCATGCAGGCACACATACCATTTATGTCTTTTGGGTTTTAAGAGTTATAAGGTGGTGGTCCCCCATCCCCCCTACTGTGGCTGGAGAATTATTTTGAACTCTTGGCAGTCCCGGTATCTCTGAGGACTGTGCACTGGACTTTTCTTCTCGCCACCCCTAGTTCGGTTAAAACCTCCAGCCTCTCCAGATCATCTCAACTGGTCTGTACACACAGAAACTCCATAAGGCCTGAAATATCTCTGTTTGTTCGTGAGCCACTTATTACTTGCTATACAAATTAGTCTGAGATCTGGACAGTAACTAAATATGACAAAGAATTGATGCCTTTGAGTTATATGCTGGAGAAGAGTATTGAACATACCATCGACTCCCAGGGGAACAAACAGGACTATCCTGGAGAGGGTGAAACCAGGTTGCTATTTGGAGGCAAGGATTTTGAAACTCCATCTCACATTCTTTGGGCATGTTGCCAGGAGGGACTAGTCCTTACAGAAGTGCATCATGCTTGGAAGGGTAGGAGGTCAGCACAGGAGAGGAAGACTCTGGATGAGATGGATTGGCACAGAGACTGAGACACTGAGGGCACATGTGTTAGAGATAGCTCAGGATAGGGCAGAGGTCAGAGCCATTGTACAAATAGGCCATAGTAGACTCGATCAATGGCACATAACAATACTGATTAATAGGGAACTCTGGTTGCCTAGCAGGTAAGGAATTGTGCTGCCAACCAAAAGACTGGCAGCTCAAATCACCTAGCTGCTCCAAAGTAGAAAGATGGGCAGTCCCTTTCCATGATATTTAACAGCTTCTGAAAACCCACTGGAGAGTCAGCTGTGAGTCACTTCCCACCCAATGACTTGGTGGTTGTTGTTGTTGTTGTTAATACTTAACATGCCAGAGCATACATCAAGTAGCTATTCTTCTAATTATCTCTAATTGGGATGCTATACATTTACTCCATGTAGATATTGTTAGATGCTGGTAAGTCACTTCCAGCCCGTAGCCACCATGTATAAACACTGCTCAGTCCTGCACCTTCCTAAGATCCATGGGAGCCCCTGGTTGTAGCATGGTGTGGCCCATCTCGGCGATGGCTCCCAGTCTTCTCTCGTGGATTTCCATCTTACCAGGCAGCTGACATCTATCCATAAGGCAGATTTGTTCATTCTTCTGGCAGTCCAGGATATGTTTAATAGTCTTCACCAGCACCACAAATCACTCATCATTTCTTCTTCAGTCTGTCTTAGCTCAGCAGTTGAAAATACTTCCTTATGAGGCAGTTGAAAATACCTGGGTCAGGCACAAGTCCTGAGAGTGATACTGCTGTCGTTCTGGGGTCAGCATGGGCAGCCTTTTCTCTGACCCAGGGTCTTCATAACGGGAGAGGAGCGATTGAAGGGAGTTGTGGTGTGGTGATTGACGCCATTACTTGGATGACGGTTACTATGTAGGTAAAGAAAGCCCTTCAGTCTTGTACCACCTTGTGCGGTGGTGGCCCCTGGGTCTCCACCCAGGAGAGGCCACCCTGGGCCTGAGGAGTAGAAAGGTCTAACTGTCCCCGCCTCGGTTGTCACCCTCTGCACACAGGTCGGGGCCTTTCGAAGTGCGAGCTGACCTCGAGGAGTCCATGGAATTCGTGGACCCTGGAGTAGCTGGAGAATCAGATGAGAGTGGAGACGAGCACGTAAGTGACGAGGAGACCGACCTGGGCACAGACTGGGAGAACCTGCCGAGCCCCCGTTTCTGTGACATCCCCTCCCAGCCTGCAGAAGTCTCCCAGAGTCAGAGCGCCCAGGCATCCCCGGCCATCGCCAGCAGCAGTGCGGGCGGCATGATCTCCTCGGCTGCGGCCTCAGTCACCTCCTGGTTCAAAGCGTACACTGGACACCGCTAGCGAGTGTGGACACGGACATACCCCGGGCCATCGAGCCCCTCTCCCACTACACTCTAGCCGACTATAGTTTAGAGCGTGCCTGGAGCAAAAAACATTCAACTCTTGGCTTGGGGTGGTGGTTTTTCCCCCTTTCAGTAGGGAGACCTGCTTTTCTGTTTGCCAGGTATGAACGACATATTATAAAATGGGTCTGTGCTTTTGACAGTAAGACAGAGGACTCAAAGGCCTTTCTTCCCACTCCCGAGTTGGTGGAATAGCGCTTTGAGGAAGTGGTTCGCTTCGGGTGCCTGCGATCAGATACAGGACGGAAGCTGGGCCTGCGCACGTTGAGTTTTAGAGGTTGAGTCACACGCAAGTGACGAACACCTGCAAGATGTCTCATAGGACTTTGTTTTGATGCTGGCATTTTTCGTGCTGAGGCAGTTTGAAATATTTGATGTCCTTATCATTTGGCCATCTTGGCTTTTTAGGACAAGGATTTCAGTGGTTTGGGAGGAGTGAGCTCTTTTTGGAGCAGTAGTTTTGAATGACTTCATCTGCGCTGCTCTGGCATAGCTCGTCAGACATTCCTGTGTTCCTTTCTCCCCCCACACCAAAGAAACTAAGGTCTTTTCCCTTTAGGACCTGTGTGTCCCTGAACAGAAGGAATCCTAGCTGCAACAATGTCCCAGAAGTTTTAAAGTGATCTTCCTGAATTCTGAGAGAAAATAAGCTCATTCTTCGCTAAGATTTTTTTAATTCCTGCCATCTAATGAAAATTCTTTTCTGTGAGTGAAATTCAGCCATTAAGGCCACTCCCTTATGTAAGCTGAATGCCTGTCTGGGCAGAGGTGACAGACTCCATCAGTGACCTCTCATTCTCCTGGCGTTCCATTTCTTCTTAAGGGATTTAGTTAGGTGGTGAGCGTTTCCTTGGAAAACCATCCCATTTGTTTCCTCTAAGTATTTGTTGCTCTGAAGACACTACCTTGGCTCAGAAATGCAGAGCAGAACTTCAAACCCGATACTGCTTTTCTGTATCCTGGGGAAAGTTCGGACGACAAAGAATTTCCACTCACCAAGAGAGCACCTTTAGCGAGTGTCTTGTCATTCTCTTAGTGACAATCTTACAAGAAAACTGTAATGAGTAAGGCATTATGTACAAATACGTAAGTAGGTTTTTCTTTCTTTTTAATAATGGCAAAAAAAAAAATCCAGCAAATTCTTAGCAGGCATTATTACCATATCTTGTTAGCATGATAGTACCTCAGCTAAAACAGAGGTTTTCTTTACCCTAGTTTCTTTTCTCATTGTAATTATAGTTGATACTTTGCTTCCAAATCTGAGGTGCTATATAGCTTTTGCTATTGGTATATTTGGAGTTTCATAGGAGTTTCGCATGGGGCAGGTTTATTTCTATTGAGGAATATCAAATTCCTTGATTCTACGAAGTTTTCCAGTTAGAGAATAAACATGCTTTTCCAGACCATGAAAGTTCTTAGCTAGCCACTGCTTAAATTAGCTTCCTGGCTGCTGGACTTGCATTGTATTATCTGGTTCTGTGGTTCACACAAGAGTGGGTATGGTAAACTTGAACACATA